TCAAAATCTAGAGGAGAACGTAGGCAGCAACCTCTTTGACCTCGACCATAGCAACTTGTTACTAGACACATTGTTGGAGGCAAGGGAAACCAAAACAAATATGAACAATTGGGACTTCATCAAGATAAAAAGCTTCTGCACAGAGAAGGAAATCATCAACAGAACTAAAAGACAACCTATGGAATGGGAGAAGATATTTACAAATGACATATCGGATAAAGGACTAGTGTCCGAAATCTATAAAGAACTTATCAAACTCAACACCCAAAAAACAAATAATCCAATGAAGAAATGGCAGAAGATATGAATAGAATTTTTTCCAAAGAAGACAACCTGATGGCTAACAGACACATAACAAGATATTCGACATCATTTATCATCAGAGAAATACAAATCAAAACCATGATGAGATACCACCTCACACCTATCAGAATGGCTAAAATTAACAACACAGTAAACAACATATGTTGATGAGGCTGCAGAGAAAGGGGTACCCTTTTACACTGTTGGTGGGAATGCAAGCTGGTACAGCCACTCTGGAAAGTGTGGAGGTTCCTCAAAAAGTTAAAAACAAAACTATCCTACAAAGTATTTACCCAAATGATACAAAAATATAGATTTGAAGGGGTACATGTACCCCAATGTTGATAGCAGCATTATCACCAATAGCCAAACTATGGAAACAACCCAAGTGTCCATAGACTGATGAATGGATAAAGATGTGATATACAATGGAATATTACTCAGCCATCAAAAGAAGGAACTCTTGCCATTTGCAACAATGTGGATGGATTTAGAGGGTATTATGCTAAGTGAAGTAAGTCAGAGAAAAACAAATATCATATGATTTCACTCATATGTGGAATTTAGGAAACAAAACAGGTGAACACAAGGAAAAAAAGAGAGAGGGAAGCAAACCATAATAGAGTCTTAGTGATAGATGACAAGTTGAGGGTTGATGGAGGGAGGAGGGTGGTGGATGGGCTAAGTAGGTGATAGGTATTAAGGAGGGCACTTGTGATGAGCACTGGGTACTATATGTAAGTGATGAATCACTAAATTCTACTTCTTCTTTTTTTTTTTTTCAACGTTTATTTATTTTTGGGACAGAGAGAGACAGAGCATGAACGGGGAAGGGGCAGAGAGAGAGGGAGACACAGAATCGGAAACAGGCTCCAGGCTCTGAGCCATCAGCCCAGAGCCTGACGCGGGGCTCGAACTCACGGACCGCGAGATCGTGACCTGGCTGAAGTCGGACGCTTAACCAACTGCGCCACCCAGGCGCCCACTAAATTCTACTTCTAAAACCAGCATTACAGTGTATGTTAACTACCTTGAATTTAAATAAAAATTTGGAAGAAAAAAAAGTATGAGAATGCTGTAGAACTGAATGGGCAGACCATACTTATTCACCATTTTCCCAACCTCCTCTTTCTCCCCATTAAGAAAGACAATAGTACAACTGTAGCATACAAAACACCCTCAAATTTAAAATGCTATGAGCAGGAAAGATTATCAAACCATTGTTTATTTTAATTTCAAAGAAGAAGTGGACTTTCTAAGCATGCCCAGACACAGCAATCATAAAGAAAAGATTGATAAATTGTAAGACACAAAATTTTTAAAACATCCCCCAAACAAGAGAGGGGATGTGAAGACAAAAGCAGAGGGTAGAGAGGAAAGAAGACAGTACACTGCTGGCTTTGAGGATAGAGGAAGGGGGACAGGAGCCCAAGGGAGCACAGGAGACCTCTGGATGCTGGAAAAGCAGTCCTCATATACAAATGCACTGGGTAGCAGTGGAGACCCATGGGCCCAATCAGGCTTGGAGGCAACAATGCAGAGAAAACTCTGCAGATGCAGGCCTTGGATACAAACTCCTTCCTGCTAGCATACTCCTGTGGAGGCTTCAGCCATGTAGGAGGAGCAGCTACTTTTCATTCTCATAAAGCTTTGCTATGAATGGAGCATGTTGAGGGGACAAAGGGCCACCCCAAAGTGGAAAACACTGAAAAAGTTAAAGTCCTTTGACAGAACAGGCCAAAGGCAGACCAGGTCTTCTTTCTCCTCAGAAAACGTCAGAGAAAGTGTGGCTATCCACAGTTGTCTCAGAGTTTCCATATCCTGCTCAGGAATTCCTGCAATAAAACAGAGTCTACTTTCACACATGGCTTATGAGACTCAGTCTCATCCATCTATGGTCTCTGTACTGTTTTCATTTGTCCCACAAGCCAGTCCTCAAAAATATTTATTGAACGAATCCAATAAATGAGCAAATGCAAAGTGGATAGACAAGTAAAAAGAACCAAATGTTGTCACAAAATATCACCGTTTTTCTTAGCATGAAGGTGCAGAGCTGGCGGTGAGATGGATATTGGAAAAGATCCCTTGTTCTTTTAATCTCCCTAGGAAGGACCTGAATAAACATATCCCTCCCTGCAGTCAGGCATCCTGGCAGGTGTCCTTGCGCCCAGAATAGAAAGGTGTGGCTGAGCTCTGTTGCTGCTGCTGTAATTGGTATGCAGGCAAATGCTCCCAGCTCCCAGCACTGCTCCCAGCACATTAGAAATCTGAGGGGGTGGGTGCTAATAACCCATAATCAGTGTTGGATTTGCCAACAGCCAAGAGAAAAATGAACCTTTAATTGAGGGAGATTTGGCATCAATCAATGATGTGACTTTAGTCAGGCAAAACTGACAAATTACTGACTCAGCCATCCAACTGTGAGAATGATTCTCTACTGGGGTGAAGGATGCAAAATGTGGATAAATGGCCTATCTTTACCCACCCCAGGACCGTAACTCACTGTGAAAAAAAATCGTCTATATTCGTTTTTAAATTTTCCTGAGTTTCTTTTTTAAGTTATGTTTTGGCAGAGCTTATTTTGTAAACTCCAAGCCCCTTTACAGAAGCATTGTGTTTCATTTTATGCTGATGGTCATTTCCAAGTGGCAACTGAATAGAATTCAATGAGCAGATATCCAGCCAGAGAGCTGAAGAAGGAGCTCGAAGTAACAATAGCAGGCCTGAGAATTCTTTCAGGATGGTGGTGATGGGTCAGCAAGGTTTTGGATCTTCTTGAATTTTCATATAAACAGAGCTACTAAGCAGCCAAACCAAGAAACCCGGCTGTGGACAACATTTACCACAAAACTAGGTGATGAGATATTCCTATGAACCCCAAATGCAAACAAGTTGGGATAAACCACCAAGAGCAGCAAGCCCTGGGCTCTCTCCAGCAGCTGTGAGAAAGCACAGGGAAGCCACAGGGCAGCTATAGACCTAGAACAGGAAAATCCAATATAGCCAATAGGTAGGTGGGAGCACTTACAGGCCTACGGGGAAACCATGCAGGTACTGGGAGGGGCTTTGCCCAATCCAGTCAAGGAGTGGGAGGGATCTGCAGTCAGCTGTGAGCTGTAAACTTTCCAAACTGACCAACCAGGGCTCCCCTCCAGGACAAGACCCCACATGAGAGGAAACTGCTGGGAGTGGAATAAAAACTGAGCAGGATTGGTGCTTTAGACGGACAGCTGGCCCACAAAAGCAGGTAAAAATTAAGCAGCAGACACTTGTGCTGATGACCCTCCCTCCTACCAGCTGCAGACAACCAGGCTGGCTCTCTATTGCTCTGGGCTCATTACTTGTCTGCCCTATCTGGACACAGTTCTGCAACTCAACACTTGTCATTCTTTCAGACACAGTTTTGTATTCACCATCCCAGTTCATCATAATTTTCCTCAATTACTCCCAGTTCTGCCCATTAGAGTTAATAAAGAAAGAAGTCTCCTTCCTCTTCCATATGATGGGTTTCAAATATTTAACAACAGCTACACGGGCCCTCTAAAAGCATCTTTCTTTCAGGCCAAACATCTCTAGTTTCTTCAAAAGCTCCTTCTGGAATATGGCTTCCAGAATCCTGTCCTAGCCCCCTGCCTCTGGGCTTATTGAAGTTCAATTCATGGTTCATGCCAATCCTGGAACAAAAAAGCTTGTATTTAAATTCAGGAAGCTCCACCTCCCGGCTAGTCTATTACCCAGTCTGGGCCTCAGTTTTCTCATCTGTAATATGGGGATAATGTTACATTATATATTTATATTGAGAGTCAGTGAGATAATAAATATAGCAACTGTGAGAACTCTAGAGCATGGACAAAATATACATAACTGTTTGGGCACAATTTCTCAAAGTTGTACTATCACTGGTACTCCAACTTGTATTTCTATAAAGAGATCATTCTGGAAGTGATCTGTTGTGAAGAGGATGTGATGGGGCTCTTTTCCCTTATTCTAGTCTCTAAGTTTTTATTAATACAGTTTGGGTTGCATGAACTTGGAAGGCATATCACACTGTTGGTCCTCACTGAGTTGGCAGTAAGCTGAGCAAGAGCCACTCTATTGACTCTAGGTTTCTTAATTGTCTTAGACAAGGTCATAGTCATGTTACACAGCATTTTAATGAAGAGAGCTGCTGTCAGCCCCATATAGAGGACCTCTAATGATGAATTAGAACAGTCCATCATTCTTCCCCCGTCTTGGTCCTAAGGTATATTTTTTTCTGGAGGAGGGAATATACAGAAATCTCTGCACCTTTCTCATTTAAAAACATTTCTAAAAATCCATGAAGAAGTTTATCCATAAACAAAGCCAAAGAAAAATGACAGACTAAGAAAACATACTTGAAATTAATATCATGGACAAAATGCTCATTTCCTTTATATACACAGTACTCCTGCAGATCAGTAAGCATTGGTTCAGTGGAACAATGAAGGTGGAAGCCAAATGAAGGTGGGGAGAGAGAGGGGAGTGGTACAGGGTAATATTAAATAGAGGGATGTTTGTATTTTATCCCTATTGTTGTGTTGTTGCCTTTCACCAAAGTAACCTGAGCACATTTTAAAGTTGACAGAATGAATCCACTAGGAAGGAAAGGTTAGTAATAGAGAGAAAAAAAGTGATCAGAAAAGAGAATGCAGAAAAGCAGTGGGATCCAAGGCACAGATGAATGGATTGAGCTTTGGTCAGAGGCACTAATTTGCAGTTATAACCAGAGAAAATGGTGGGAGTGTCCATGTAGATGTTAAGTAGTTTTGAACTTTTATTATTAGAAAGTCCAGGAGGTTCCCGTCTCATAGCTTCTGTGTTACCCACAAAATGAAAGATTCAAATAGTCCTTTCAAATAGTATGTAGTAGTAGAACAAATTCACTAATGAAACTTAGGACTCCTGGTCAGTGTTTGAGGATCCATTTGAATTTGGTGATGGTGAACTCACATTGAGATATATCCACCCTATCGAGTGACTTTCTTTGCCATTATTATTGTCTTATTCATCTCAGGCTGCCATAATGAAATAACATAGTCTTGGTGGCTTTAAACAATGGAGATTTATTTTCTCAGTTCTAGATGCTGGGAACTCCAAAATCAAGGTGCCAGTCAATTTGGTTCCCAGTGAGAACTCTCTTTCTAGCTTATAGGTGGCTGCCATCTTCCTGTGTGCTCACATGACCTCTTCTTCGTATACAGAGGGTGCGGTTGGGGAGTGGGAGAGAGAGAGCAAGCTCTCTGGTGTCTTTTCTTAGAAGGGCACTAACCCCATCATTAGCACCTGCCCTAATGACCTTACCTAGCCCTAATTACGTCCAAAGGCTCCATATCTAAATATTATCTCGCTGAGGGTTAGGACCTCGATGTATGGATTTGGGGAGAAACAAAAGCATTCAGTTGAGAACAGCTGGACTGCTGGCATGCAGGTGATGAGAAAGACATTGATTTCAAGCAGGACTGAGATTTTATGGGGTAAAAGGAAAAGACAGAAGCACAAGGACGTTTGTATTAATAAGAGTATGACTCTAATGTACTTTAAATTTGATATAGAGGGAATGAAGAAAGAAGATAAGGAAGTGATTAGCTGAGGTAGAGAAGAAGGACCAAAGAACTGGCTGGTCTGTTGAGTTCAAAGAATAGTCATAATGGATATAGTTAAACAAGCAAACTAGGAGAGAAGATTGGAGATTGTTGTCAGAGTGGAGGAGTGGATGGGTAGGTCTGGTAATGAAAGCAGGTAAGAAAAATTTAGAAGTCAGAGTATTGAATGGCCATTTATGTTGTTATGAAGTCACCCAGCATTGTGGCAGGATTTAGAATACACAGTAGCTGTTGTGTTATCTTACCTCCAATAATACAGGGGGAATAAGTGGGAGACTAATACATGACAGTATTGTCAAATTACCTAAACCTCAGGACTGAGAGCAAATTTTTTTGGTTTGCTTGCTTTTTACAAGACAGTGGAGAAATAATGGTTTAGAAGTGGCAATAGAAACCAGTCAGGCATACTTCTGGCTCTAAGTTATGAAAGGGATGAAAATATTTAAAAACAAAACTAAACTAAACAAAACAAAAATCTGTTTGAGAGTACAAAGGAAGCAGAGTCCTCAGGGGAGATCCAGGCTTCCGTTGAGGAAAGAGGGTGGAGATACCAAAGAGCAAAAATTGAGAGGTCATCATGGAGGGGGTGGCAGATAAGGTCAAGATCAAAGACATGTAAAACGTTGGTACAATAGGGCATGGATGGTGAGACTGGCATTACAGGCTTTGTTGAAGAGTCCCTTGACAAATGTCACAAATTTTTTTTTAAGGCTTACTTAATGGCTGATCAAAACAAGGTGCATTTGGTCTTACAGTTTCTTTGAGGAGGGTAACATGGGCTCTTAGTTCAGAGGGCTTTTTTCTTTTTCTTTTGAAGCGGGTGCTAACAAAAAATTACAGACTCCAGACATTGCTTGAACTACATCAATTAATCTTCAGAGCCATTCTGTAGTAGGATATAGTCTCCCACTTACAAACAAGGAAACAGAGACTTGGAGAGGTTAAGTAACTTGCAGAAAATAACACAATAAATTGGAGAACCAAAATTAAAAGCTTCATTTATTAGAGGCAAATGGATCTATTAGATCCATTCTTTTTTTTTTTCATTTTGTCGTCCTTTTTTTTTTCCACAAAAGTATAAATGACACACAAAGTCACATTAGTTTCAGGTGTACAATACAGTGATTCCTTAAGTTTATACATTAGGCTGTGCTCACCACAAATGGAGTTACCATCTGTCACCATGCAACCCTATTACAATATCACTGACTATATTCTCTATGTTGTACCTTTCTTATTCATTCCATAACTGGAAGCCTGTATCTCCCATTCCCCTTCACCCATTTTGCCTATTCTCTCACCCTTTTTCCCTCTGGCAACCATCTGTTTGTTTTTTATATTTATGGGGCTGTTTCTGCTTTTGTTCATTTGTTCTGTTTTTTAGATTCCACATATAAGTGAAATCATATGGTATTTATCTTTCTCTGTCTGACCTGTTTCGCTTAGCATAATACTCTCTAGGTCCATCCATGTTGTCACAAATGGCAAGATCTCATTCTTTTTTATGGCTAATATTCCATTCTCTTTATATGTATACCAAATCTTCTTTTTCCATTTATTAACACTTCAGTTGCTTCCATATCTTGGCTATTGAAAATAATGCTGCAGTAAACATAAGGGTGCATCTACCTTTTTGAATTAGTGATTTCACTTCCTTTCATAGGTAAATACCCAGTAGTGGACTTATTAGTGCATATGGTATTTCTGTTTTTAATTTTTTGAGGAACCTCCATACTGTTTTTACTAGATTCATTCTTTTTCCTAACATGTTTGCCACCTAGTTCCAGATGAAGCTTAAACACAAAACCTCTGCTTTGCACACATAGTGCTTAAGAATCAGGAAGAGTTGTATACAGTGACCAGTTGCATCACATCTCCAGAGTCAAAAGCGGCAGTCCTCAAGCTTTCATAATGCTTTATAAGAAAAGTGGGATGGGGGAGCCTGGGTGGCTCAGTCGGTTGAGCATCCGACTTCAGCTCAGGTCACGGTCTCATGGCTCCTGAGTTCAAGCCCCGCGTTGGGCACTGTGCTGACGGCTCAGAGCCTGGAGCCTGCTTCTGCTTCTGTGTCTCCCTCTCTCTCTGCCCCTAACCCACTCGCATTCTGTCTCTGTCTCTCTCAAAAATAAATAAACATTAAAAAAAAATTTAAAAGAAAAGTGGGATGAATTTCTTCATTGGAACTAGCAAGAAAGTCACCTGATCAATTTAGAGCATGGAGCAGTCTTTCCATTTCCCTCCTCCATCTTACCTTTCTCTTTGCACTAGAGCCTTAGCCTCATCTTGTACCAGATTGAATTGTTTTACACCAAAGAGAATGTTTTCAGCATTCTCCAGCACATTAACTTCATTTTTCACCCACTCCCCTCCTCCTCTATGGTTCTAATAAAGACCATCAACATTTTTCAATGTCACCTTAATGTTGATAAAAACTCTTCTGAAACACCATAATAACAAAATAATATTCCATGGTATACTGGTATCGTAATGTATTCAATCAACCCCACATTTATTGAACTTCCAGCATTTTTCCAATTATGTTATTATATACAGCATTAGCATTGCTAATCTGCATATCCATGATTACTGCTTTAAGAGAAATTGTTGTATACATTTTTTGACTCAGAAAGTATTGTTGAGTCAAAAGATATGAAATATTTTAATGGACACAAATTAAACTTTTCTCTAGAGATGTCTTACCAATTTACATTCCTACTAACAGTATGTAAGAGTGTTTTCTTATACCCTTGCTCATTCTGGGAGCTATCATTCTTTTTGATATTGTTTCATAAAATAAGCAAAGAGCATTATCACATTTATACTTTAATTTTTGAATTAGTAGTAAAATTGCACATTAATTTCATGTGCTTATTGGTCACATATATTTTGTGTTTGGGTTTTGCCTATTTGAGTCCTTTGCTTAATATTTTCTAAGGAACATCAGTCTTTTTTATAATGACTTATCATTTGGTCTACTGTATGGATAGCAACTACTTTTTCTAGTTTGTTGTTGCCTCTTTTAGGGTGCCTGTAAAGTTATTATAGAGAGAGACATTGAAATGTTCCATATAAATGAAATTCATCCATCTTTTTCTTTACTGGATTTTCCTTTGGTGATTTTAGAAAAGCCTTTGCCACTTCCAAGGTTATACAGATATTTCATAGTTGCTGGTTTCTATCAGAAATTGTTCATCTATTGTTCTCATTTAAAAACATATTTCTGTAGAAATTTACATGCACTATGGCTAAAGGAGGACAGATACCATGTCATTGTGTTTAGCATCTTGTACATCTCTGTTAGTATTCAGTGAATACTTTTTGAATGAAAAAAAATATCTATATGGAATATATGAAGATGTGAAATTAGGATATACCTTTATTTTTTCCAAATGATTAGCCGTTTGTCCAATTCTGCATATTAAATGATCCATCTTTTCCCTACTGATTTGAAATATTAAATTTATCATGTAATAATTTTTAAATAGTAATTTGCACTTGCAATAAAGGTTTGTGTTACTGATAATAAATCCACAGAGACAACTAACATAAATATTTCACAGCAACTTTTTTCAAGATATATCTCCAGGAATACAGTAGAGATATATGTACTTAATTTTACTCAGAAGGATTCATGCTACATACAGTTGGTATATATTTTCACCACCTGTCACTATTTGTTTGTGTTTGTTTATAATGTTTTCTTCCTTTCAAATATTGTGTATCTTTTGCAGTCAAATTTACATATCTTCATTTTGCAGTTGCTGAGTTTTCATGCTTAGAAAAGCTTTCCGTTATGCTTAGATTATTAAAATGTTTAGGGGCGCCTGGGTGGCGCAGTCGGCTAAGCGTCCGACTTCAGCCAGGTCACGATCTCGCGGTCCGTGAGTTCGAGCCCCGCGTCAGGCTCTGGGCTGATGGCTCAGAGCCTGGAGCCTGTTTCCGATTCTGTGTCTCCCTCTCTCTCTGCTCCTCCCCCGTTCATGCTCTGTCTCTCTCTGTCCCAAAAATAAATAAAAAACGTTGAAAAAAAAAAATTTTAAATGTTTACCTAACTTTTGTGGGATGTTTATTTT